ACTCAATTTGCACTATTTCTGGCAGTCTGCAAAGGCCCTTAGAGGCTCAGAAATGTCAGGAAGCAACATAAATAAACTTTTCCTAGTTCTGAGCTTAATCCATCCCTGGCACAAGTGAATATTCCTTCATTAGCAGAAATGGATGGATGGATGGAAGGATGGATGGACAGACAGATGAACAAGGGAGCAGGTGAATGAAACAGATGAAAAGATAAACAGATATATATAAAATCTATCCCTGGCACAAGTGAATTTTCTTTCATTAGCAGAAATAGATGGATGGATGGCAAGGGATATTATAATCCAATACAGCTGGAAGACACCATGTGAAGATTTCTGCCTAAGTCAAGGGTGGTAATCATGCAGCCTTGCGGATCTTGTTGGACTATAGATCCTAGCAGCCCTAACCAGCATATAATGACAGCATAGACAACTTTTACTAGCTCTGATCTTAGTCCATTCCTGTTACAAGTATTATATTATATTATATTATATTATATTATATTATATTATATTATATTATATTATATAGTATGGCCATGCTGGCAGGTGAATTGTGGGTGTTCAGCTCCCCCAAAAAATATCTTTCCCAAGCTCTAAGTAAATGTTTGGGCTGTTAATGACACTAAACAACCCCCCCTTCCTCTGATGTAATGCTCACAGCTCAATCAGGCTGTTGATGTGACTCAGTCAGCCATTCCATCATTATTTATTTATTTTCCGGCTGATTGGGTTTCATTGCAAATTGCTTCTCACAAACAATGTTGGCTGGTCTTGACAGTAGGCTTAGTGGTGCGTAGTCAACGGAAGTGGGACAGACAGTGTCTAGTTCAGGGAACGTGATGGTGCTTGTGATACAGACTGATGTAGACTCCTTATTTGCAGGGTCATGATAACTCTGCTTTTACCAAAGTATGTGCTAGTTTGCACAGAATCAGGATTTCAATTAGAGGTGAGAATTGTGCAGTCCTCCAAATGTTGTTGGACTACACTTCCAAGCATTTCTCATCATTGTCTAAGCTGGTTGGGGCTGCTGGGATCTATAGTCCAACAAGATCTGCAAGGCTGCATGATTACCACCCCTGACTTAGGCAGAAATCTTCACCTGATGTCTTCCAGCTGTGTTGGGTTACAATTGCTATCATATCCAGCCAACACAGACAGTTTCTTGGCTTGAGAAAAAGAGATTTGTAGTCTAACACAGCTGGAGCATTCCAGATTGTGGATGGCTAGCATAACTGATTAGTATTCTCATGTATTCTCCCCCATGATCTGTATGGATGGCAGGACCTCTGCTGCAAAGTATATGGGCTGAGAAAATTCCATGAAGCTAACAGATTCATTGTATGTTTTGATTATAGCCTAGGCATCAGTTAGCCATGTACCTTTATGATAAAAACAAAACAAAACAAAACAAAAAAAACCAAACAAACACCTTTCTCTAGTGCTTGCTATATAATCCATTCCCCAGGCCCTTGGCCTCCTAGGGGACAAGATATACCATGTAACCTTCACAGAGTCAGCTGCTTCTTCTGGAGGAAGACCAAGGGAATACAAAAGCATTTTGCTGAGTTAGTCCATACAAAGCCATGCTAGTTTCCTCTTTATCCTTCATGCTGCCTTTCCATAGAAGGCAAAGAACTTTGTACTCAGATAAACTTTTGCCTGGTCAGGCTGGGTGGCTCTGAAAGGAGTCTTTCATCCAGGGGACTATTGCCATTTCTGCCTCGTTGTTGTTGTTATTGTTATTTAATTGCTTTTGAAGTTGTGTGTGTTAATTTGGTTTTAAATGATACTGTTTTATCTGTTTCATCAATAATTACAACCAGTGCTCATTCAGGGGTAGCTGTGTTGCCCATTTAGCAAATTAAAAGCAAAACAAAAAACACACACACACCAAAAAAAGGAAACAAACCAAAAACCAAAAAACCCATCAGTGATACCTTTATTGGCCAACCAAAATTCACAATATACTTGTTGCAAACTTTTGAAACTCCATGGGCTTCTTCATCAAGCAAGATATTACAAACTAAACAGGAGAAAAACAGTCGGAGGTTAGTAAGATGCCTACATGTTGTTTCAGTCTTTAGTTAAGATGGTATGGTGGGGAGGATATCTTTTGTAGGCAGGCTCCTCCTTCTCCTGACTATGTGGCTATAGGGAGATTCTCAAAGTCCAGGAAATTTAAAATTAATTTGCATCTCAACAGGAGCCCCTGTTTTGCAGTCCAATATGTTTCCATTCCAGTGAGGTTACAGGCCTCTTTGTGGCAGAGAATAATGGATTGCTCAAGAAGTCTTCATGTTTTTGCATCAGGAATATTTTGGTTCATGTAGAGGTAAAACATGTGAATTCAGTCCAGATTTAAGAAGAAAAAATTATTTTGGTTGAAGTTCCCAGTCCACAGGCTATTCTTCCTGGTTGCCCTGTTGCCGCTACAATGTGGTATCTCACAATGCAGAAAACATTCAGGGGTAGCTGTGTTGGCCATTTAGCAAATGCAAACACAAATCCATGAGTGATACCTTTATTGGGCAACCAAAATGCACAATATACTTGTTGCAA